CTTGGAGTAGCATGGCTACAAATACAATGTCAACAATGTCTTTTATACTTCAGAAGCATGAGAAGCATTGAGTTTCATGTCTGCATATCTGCTCCCCATTCACAGACTGAGTCAACACCTGGGGCAAGGGTATCATGTTGCCAACATAGAGACAAAGCAAATGGGATGGTCACGGAACTGCACGTGGCCTTCCCTACTTCTTAAGATTTTGCTGCAGAGGCCCCTTTTATCTCACGCTGTGATTAATGGTGTTACCAAATAGTGGATGTTTGCAGGACTAATTGCGAAGTATCTTGTTAACAGCTAGATCAGAGATGAGGGCCGCCGTTCTTCAGATTCTGATTGTGTAAGTATACACCTGACACATGCTTGCTCTAGTGTTATAGCCCCGCCATATGTAATATCTTACAGCCTTTGACTTGAATGCAAATTATTTGAGGAAGGGAAGTGAACAGGTAGTATCAGTTGATAAACTAAATTTTGATAGGTATATGAGGGTTTGCTTCTACTGTCATCATAACATGGGACATCGTTCTGTTCCATTCATTTGAAAAGGCAGGTTTTAGCGGAACATGCCAAAAACTTCCTGTTTCCTGTGTCTTTCTCCAAACCCTAACTTGTTGACGGCAAACCTGAAAGAAAACTCGAAGACTTCCTTCTGAATGGAAAATATCACACATATTGTTCATGCATATATGGAATTTGTCAAACATAACATTGGCATGTTATGCAACATTGGCATGTTACGCCCAAAAAAAGGGAGTGTTCTTAAAGAAGTCAACCCCATGTGACCTGAATATAGCATAATAATAATTAACCTTAAAAGTTATCACCGGTGATTGCTAGCTTGTATATGAGGAATATGTTGGGTAATCCGAGTACAGCAGTTATCTAGTTACCAAATTTCATGAGCAGTCATCCTGAAGTACAATGGTTTGATAGGTGTATGTTGCCCGATAACTAAAATGTGTGCAGTTTTCAACAGGTCCCCTTTACTTCCCCTGGAGGATTTCATTGATAGATGCTTTGACTGGTTCCTGTAAGATAATTTGTTAGGTACTACCACATTTTAAATGAACTTGTTGATGGAATTCAAAGTATTTCAAATGGTACCAATGTGTGTCAGTATGTAAGAACTAGGCAGACTTCTCTCTTCCACGTACAGCCACTCTGCATGAGTAAGGAGATTCCCCTAGCCCATGATCCCTGGTACATGCGTAGTAACATTTTGTTTTGTACCTGGCTTTCGCAGCCCTTTAAAGCTAGGAACGTAATCGCTTTGTTGGTCTAATATAAGTTATACACACTGGTGTCAAGAAGATATATTGATTTCAAAGATATACACTGTATTAAGGTGCTAGACTTTACATATTCGTCATTATTTACATAAGTATGGCTAAGTGCCAGTGTTAGTGTACAACTGTAATGGGGGAGGGCAGTCAGTTATGGTTAGCTGGCCATGGTATCCACCAGAACAGTTCAGAATTTAAAAAAGCAGTATACAAGTGAATAGACATATTTACTTTTATGATTATCATACAATTTTTGTAAGATATCGTTTCAATGTTAAAGTGTTAAAGTTTTTTTTACACATGTAATATTACACAGGTAAATTGAGTAGTGAAGTGTGCATTTAACTTTGTTCTTTGGACACACACCATGAGCACTATCACATGATATACTTTCCCTGCAAAATAAAGTTCAAATTTCCTGTTCTTAATTGTTTTATAATTAGATATTGTCTCTGATACATTGTGCAATGCCACTATTTTAATGTATCAGGTAGTGAGTCATGAACAGGTGAACCACTTGCAACTATGTCTCACCAAGGAGCTCACCCACGCACAAACCCACCCACATGCCACATGGACAGTTCCTGCCATTATTTGTTCATAGTTTCTATTGGGATGTGTGTACGTACTGTAGCAATTGTCAAAAGACTGACTGCTTATCTAGGAAGAATGAGGAACGGATACAAGTCGGTCTCATGATCATGACTTCAAAATACATGCCATTTGTTTCCGTGCGTCCTAATAAGTCTAGCCCCTGAACCTGTGAGCTGTGCCTTACTGTAAGTTGTAACACATCTGAAATCTGATTTGGTTATCATTATCATTTCTATATCGTCTAGTGTTTAAACAAAAAATTTTGGCTTCAACCAAGTGCACATTTATACGGTACTTTTCACTTTTATAATATCTTGCATGATTCACACTGTTGCGTTGTGGAGTCAGGAGACAGAGACGGTTCCACTGCGTTTTACAGCCTTATTCTATAGTGTTAGTAGACTACAGGAAGACGTGTGCTCCGAGCCCCAGGTCCAAGGGAAAAGAGAGTTCTTATTACTTGATCATGCGTGCTTCTGAGCACACATTATTCAATATTCATGGACTAGACTAATACATGAAGTATAGAGGGGTGTTGGCTTTTAGCTTACTTGTACTTCTTGTAACACACACCACGTGCATCGTTTCCTGGCGGTGGCGGGAAACACACAAAGAAAGTTTGGCCTCAGCCAGAGGGGTGCATGTTGAATATTCTCATTTTTTTCGTTACAGCAGCGCTCCCACAAACATTGAACAACAAGTACCTATGGAATGATCTATATATTTCATGGAAAATCATTAACTTACACAGACCGATGTCCACATTGGCAATGGAATTGTTGTATCCATGGTTCAGCCTACGAAGTACTGTTCGGGCGCGTCGACGTTTGCAAACTGAGACAATTTTCATCGACCTTCAATGGATTATGTGGCTTCCATCAAGGCGCATGTAGAATGTTTCTTAAACTTTCATCGACCACGCACTGATTTTACATGTCGGGATGATACTAGAGTCGATCTGATATATTGTCGCCGTATACCAGAGAACAGATTTAAGAGCAAACTCAGTGGCGTACCTGACCTGACCAGCCGAATCAGCTGTGGGTGTGTAGGTCATAGTATCATGAATGTCAAAGGTCAGCAAACGCGGCCTGCGTACGTGTGTGCGAGCAGAAGTTGAGTTGAGTTGCAAAAATTTTTTTGTCATAATAGTGAGCCTTTTAAATAACAATGATTTTTTTCTGGGTATTTTGTAGCTTATTCCCTTCAACAAATACAAACCAATTGTAATACTACATTAAATGATTTGTGTGTGTGTGTGTGTGTGTGTGTGTGTGTGACTGTGAGTGTGTGTGTGTGTGTGTGTGTGTGTAATAGGGTGCTCTGACCTGATATGTTATAATTTTTGCTATATATATATAATATTAGTTTCTGTTGCACTATGGTACAATTTCCTGGTGCAACCGTGAGTCATTGAATTCGGAACCCTTCTGTCGTCTGGGAAAGTGTAGGCGACCCTTGAGTATAACCATATTTGGGGATACAAGGAGCTAACCGGTAATGTCTTAAGAATTTAGGGAGAGGATATGACTCACGATGACTAATATAAAAAGAATCCAACTTGTTCCAAGAAATTTGTGTGTAGGAGGGCGAAATATATAAAAGCCTGTGTACTCTTGTAGCTAGTTGAGTTGAGTCAGTTCAGAAAAGACAATACAGAGTTTCCACGTAGCTGTCGGCTCCTGTGTCTTTCTTTCGGGTCGTACAACTCCAACATCGGCGGCTAATTCTACGAACTTTGTAAGAGCACCCATCGGAACTTAGGTCATCTAGCTACCATCTGGCATTGGCCTTGACATCACTCTTACATGTGTGTGTGTGACTGTGTGTGTGTGTGTGTGTGTGTGCGTGTGTGTGTGTGTGCGCGCGCGCGTGTGTGTGTATACGTGTGTGTGTGCGTGCGCGTGTGTGCAGTTCGCGAGTTCTGTTGAGATCTCAATTTTCTCTATTTTAAGTTTCCATGAGCCATCACTCCAGGCACTTCAAATCAGGTTGATGATTTAGATATCACCCTGAGAGATAGATAAGTTGAGTCTTCTGACTCTCAGGTTTCACAACTTTATTTTTCATTGCCTTGATGTTAGATAATATGCTACAAATGGAACTTCATGAAAGAGTAAAGAAAGAATACCGTTTCTAATGACATTGGACAGCCTGAGCACATACACATAGGAGTCAACACTTACTGTCTGGCTTAGAGTTCGACCAATATGGTTTTCGTGTCACCTTATACCTACAGCTGCTGCTTTACATAGTGAATAGTACAACTTGGAATAACTTCAATAGGCTACCCGTTACCAGTTTCCCTAGAAATGAATAGTAGGTTATTGTCTGCTTCCATGGTGACCGCATAACAGATGACGTAAGTCAACCTTTGTCTCGTGTGTAGTGCATGTAATGTGTCTAAGTTGTTTGAAAAATAAACAAGACTAGCAGTGTCCAAAATACGTTTGCTCGTCGGCCTTTCTGACAAAAGATGCTGCACGATATTTTGCACATATTCATGACCAGCGGAGTAGTTCTAAAGCATGTACATGTGTTGTTCAAATACAACGACGTAATTCTTTTTAAATTGTATATGCTTTTTGGTGCGTTTTCCCTAGAAATAACAACATTAGTTTTGTCTAATTTTGACATGAAACATACATTTTCTATCATTTCGAACCTCCCTACCATAAAAAATGGAGAAGTCGGAAATGTTCGCGGGCATTATCAGCCCGGCAGTACGCCCAGAGCATTGAATTTTAAAAGTCGATTTTTTTCTCATTTTTTCACGTAGTATGCTGAATCAACCCTATCCTACCCCATACCGATAGTCATGTGGCAAAAATTTGATGTCGCTGTGCCGGGCGAGCGCCTTGAAAAAGTACGTGCCTCCCGCCGCCGCTATTGGTGTCAGCCATTTTTGAAATTTCCGAACGCCCGCGAACATTTCCGACTTCTCCCCGCCAGAGCCGAGGATGAGTCACGTGGTTTACCGCTACCCTGTCCGCAAAGGATCCTGGGAATGTGCAACTCGTGCACATTTCTTGCTCGTGAACTTAGGAAGCACAGTCTGCCAACTTCCAAAATCCCTGTTTCTGCGCTGAGTGGGTACGACTTCTACCATTCACCATGCCGAGATCTTTTCTCGTTAAGAGATTCAAGCACATCTGGGAGTCAGGCGAGCCCAAGCAATCCAAACAGGATGAGATGGGAGGTAAGAAGGGCCACATTTTGTCCTGATTTTGGCACAGGCAGTGGTTATTTGACCATGGGTGTTTACTTATGTGTGACAGGACCCGGTCCAGTGGCTGTAGTTGATCCTACTACTGACATGCTGGCATACCTTGAATCTATGCGGCCGAAGCTCGGTCATCTTATTCAAACTTTCGGCATGGAGAAGTCTTTACAAGCTCGTAAAATCTCACAAATTCGATCAGGCGCCCGCCTAGTCTCCCCCGTCCTGACCGTTACGTCTCCCCGCCTTCCGCGTGCCTTACATGACGTAATGGTACTTCTCGGAGACAAACACAAGACCAAGGAGGTTTCCTTAGACAGATTTTCTCAAGAAGCTCAAAACTAAGGAGTAACCTTGGCGGAAATCCAGGGGTGTGCTCAAAGGTAACACCGACTACGGTACGAACAAGACGTAGATGCCCCTGTTGCGGCTAAGGTTTCTCCCTTCGCCAATTTTGGTCCGGAAAGGTAGAAGTCTGATTCTGGATCTGGCTTGTCTCTTGTGAATCATCCTCCTTCGCAGGGCTAAAATCCTCCGGTTCCTTCCTTCGGGTTTTAGAAGGAACCGGAGGATTTTAGCCCTGCGAAGGAGGATGTTGTGAATTGACTTTGGGGTTATCTGGTACTTTTTGGTGTGCCCAGATTATCCGCCTACAATCTTGAATGAAATGTATCATCGATAATCTATGCATGAGAAAAACAGCTGACTCTACAAAATTATATTCTCTGAAACGTGTAATAATATTTGAAAAACAATTTAGACTTTCTTTATTATTATTCTTTTGTTTCTGGACATAAATTCAAGATGGTGGTAGCTTCTGTGCACGTGATTTTCGGAAAATTGATAAATTCCAGAATTCGGCTTTCTTTGTTTTGACAAAACATATAAAAACCTGCGGAACGTTTAAAGATTTTCCAAATCCGCCCAACCTATTGTATTGTATTATCTAATTCTTTGTTTGTGTCAGAAATCAGCTTATTTCTTTGAAGTCTGACGCCTCGAAAAAGGAAATAGGAAAAAACCACGCTACAACTGATTAAACTTTCAGTTTACCAGGAAAATTTGTAGAAAAACACAATCTGACACTCTCTCCCAATTTCAAGAAGCCCCCGAACTGGTGACGCTGGTTTCCGTGGACTGGAGTACAGGTTACCACCCCGTTCCCTTCGTCAACCCGCTGGGCCTGCCTCTGGTCGCCCCCCACCAGGACAACCCCAGCCGACGGAGTCCGGTCGAGAGCACCCCTCTGCCCCCCTCCCCACCCACAGATGACCTCAAGATCAACGTCAACGATGAGGACAACCTAAAAGTCATAACCACCCCCAATAAACCCAAAGTGGTGAGTTTGTGTATACATTATGTAATCGTGAGATTGTTGGAGAATATATAGTTCGTCTGTCTGTTTACTTTGGAAATGGCCGTAACGCTCTCTGGTTATTACAAATTGAGGAAACAAACTTTCGCTTTTCTTCGCGTGCTGAGCGCCTGTGAAATTGGAGATAAGTTATATTGTTTGCTTTCCACTTTGCCCTGTTTGTTCCGCATAAACACCCGTTAGTCTATCGGGTTATGTGTGTTTATTTTCGACAGTATAATACACAACACTAAGTGGAATAATTTGGCAATATACTTTGGTGAAGTGTTTCGACATGGTTCCTTTTACTATTGGTCGACTGAGTACCGCACTAACAAAGTAACAACTCACAACAGAGCGACCAACATGTGACATATCCACACCTAGATATCTACGTGCACAACGATTTTTCATTCAAAAAGAGCCAAGAATGGAGAAGATTGGACTTACCTGAGTCAAATTACAGCGAGATAACTTTCGCTCATCCTCCCATGGCAGGGGCAGCGGCTCCGAATTCCTTCTCCACCCTTTAGGAATTCGGAGCCGCTGCCCCTGCCATGGGAGGATGCTTTCGCTAAAATTACAGAGTAACAGGGCCAAATCCCCATACATAAACAATGGGCCTTGCGACGAAGTAAATTGTCTATTTTCGCAAAATCTGGAGACGCGGCAAAAACCAAAACTCTAGGTGGCCTTAAACTTCACCAAATTACCTACAAAATGACACCAAAACCAAGAAGAATGACCTACCCTGAGCGACAGGATGGCAGAAAATGTGCCTCGCGTCGAACACCAATTCCAGTGTTCGGCCGCCATTTTTGTGTGTGACCCCGGTGTGAACTCTGACATAACGGGGTCGAACGACCTGATTGGCCCGTTAAGAAGGTCGAGCTATTCAACACTGCTCAATTAGTGGTCTGTTCAAGGACATGAATGTTCATGTGCTTACTGTACAGAAATTCCTACATTATATATATATATATATATGTGATCGTTGGGAAGTCCGAGTATGAACAAGTTACTAGCATTAACCAACCTCCTTGCATAATTAAAGTTTTACTGCAAGACAAAAGCCTTGTAAAGGGTACACTGCACAGAAAAGCCAGATTTCCACAAGTTCGCATGCTTGGACACGTTGGTGAAACCTGACGTGTCCTTGGCGCGTACACGAGTTTCCACGGGTGTCCCACCCCGGCGTTTACAAGGTTTGAAACTCGTGCACACAATGGGACACACAAAGTGTACAGGGTTTCTCACTTTTGAAACCTTCCGTGTCCGAACTATTTATTGTCACAATGAAAAGCTAAGAAGTGCCTTACATGTGGCAGTATCCATTCTAGGAAAATAGAATGCACAGACTCCCTGCCACACAGCAATCTATACACGCAGTTTTATTGTTTGTGTGCATCTATTGCGATGTTCTTACCACATCGGTAGGGGACTTTTGGATATAACCAAGGAAATTATGTCCTTGATATAACCCTTATACAGAGCGGTCTGTATATCAAAGCGGTCTAAGTGCATCCAGAAATGTAAAAAATAGCTGAAGATCATAAACTAAAGACGTATCCATGCGCAACTCGTCTGTGTATGTACCGTGTTTTGTTTTAGGTGCAAGATTATAACCTGTGCCTAGAAGTGCAGATAACGTGCAATTTTGAAATTTCTACTGAAAGCTAAGACTTTGTGGAAGTAGTGATCAGAAAGAGTTTGTTTGTTCAACTAAGAGATGCTTTGCAGTATTTTCCGTCGAGGGCGAGTGTGGGACAAGTGTGTTTATTCTTAACCTACAACCAGTTCAGACAGAAGTGCAGAGTTCAGCATGCTCATTGCTGTCTTCCCGCCATCAGTCACCAGAAGTTCCGTAGACTTTGCGACCGTCGTAGCAACATCCTTGCTACGAGACTCCGTCTTGGCTTTCGCTTAACTCCACACGTCCTAAGTTCAACTTAACCCCCGAAGTTGCGACTGTGGAGCCACGTCTGAGACGGTTGCGCACTTTCTCCTCCACTGTCCTCTGTACCGTAGTGGACGCACGGCAAACACTAGCCACTACTGTACGTCGCCTTGTGGATCGACCACTCTCCACCAACATCCTGCTCAATGGTTATCCAGGTAACGACATTTCTATAGACCAAAATCTCTCGGTTGCTCTTCACATCTACATTCTATCAACAAACCGGTTTTAACTCTAAGTCCCTCCAGCCATTCCTACAAGCCATATATTGTTGTATATATTGTATATACTAAGTTTATTGTACTCAACCGACCACTGGCCTCCTCCACCTTTACAATTGTTATGTATCAAATGATTTTAATGTATAGGTAATTTAGTTGTATTTCGTTGTTATTTACTTGTATGTATATGTTTATGTGGGGCCCGAAATCAGCTATGGCTGCCTGTGCACCCATTGTATAGCTACGTGTGCAATTTCAAATAAATAAAAATAAATAAAAAACCTCGAGCCTTGGTTGGGCAAACTGTGAATTTTTTAACTGCAGTAACATACTAGTACAATAAATAGAAATAACAAGAACGTCGGTGTATTTGTTTCACAACCAACCTGAAATGACATTAACATAGCGACAATTATCTTGAAAACTAGCAATGTACAGATTTCTTTGTCTGCTCGGTCGGCTTTCTGCATATGATCAGCATGTACAGATCAGCCTTCTTGCAGGAAGAAGTCTTTTCCTCTGCATTACCGCACGTAGTCAAGTCGATGTGCCATGTGGTGTATAGCCTCGTGTAGAAATCACACATAATGGCGAAGTGCTGATATTATAGGACCTTAATTAAGCTCCAGGCAAAACAACCTATCATGACGCCTACGCCACAACGACAATCTGGTAAGGCAAGACATTAATGTTGGAGGGTCGGCCGGAAATCGACTAAAGAGAACTGAGAATTTAAAGTGTTGATTTTGAACGACCTTACAGTCACCCTGGGCTAAACACAACATGCTTTACCTTTCAGATTTTAATATAGTTACGTAGTAGTGAAAAACAGCATTTTAACTTATTCTGGCTTGTTCCCGCCTTTCAGCTCTCAGCTGACGACGCAACAACGTGATGGCAGAGTTGATCAGGTCTCTGTTTCCGCCATAGGCACGAAACAGGGCGTCCCCTATGACATTTATGCACAGAGCAAAAAGGGATAGAGCAGGCATGTTGTCTGTACTAGATCCTGGACTGCTCTGAGGTACAGCTGGTAGATATCATTTATTTGACCGAATCAGAGCAATGGGAAAATGCCTTTGTGTGCGTAGGTTACAAACAAATAGGACCTCATAACTCACCGGGTCTTGGATCGTCAAGTACTCTCAAGGACCGTGACCGAAATAGTGTTGAAATACGGAAGAGTCATACATAGGAACAATAACGAAAATAATAGGGTACACTGCACGGAGATTTCCACAAGTTAACTTGCTTGGACACATTGGTGAAACCTGACGTGTCATTGGCGCGTACATGAATTTCCGCGGGTGTCCCACCCCGGCGTTTACAACTTTAATACAAGGTTTGAAACTCGTGCACACAATGGGACACACAAAGTGTACAGGGTTTCTCACTTTTGAAACCTTCCGTGTCCGAACTATTTATTGTCACAATGAAAAGCTAAGAAGTGCCTTACATTATGTCCTTCATATAACTGTAACAATTAGGTGCTACCAACTGATCCGTCTGACAGGTCATGAGCTTTTAGGGCTAGGAGTATAGTTTCTGTTTCTACTCGCCCCTGAGTGTTTCATAACCCTTATACAGAGCAAAATATTTTGCGTCCGGCCAAGGTTAAACCACACTGTTTTAGCAGGATATATGTAAGCTTGGTATGAAAGCGGTCTAAGTGTTTCCCGAAGTTTCTAGGTAATGTTTTTGTACCTAGCCCTAGGGCATGTATGTGCAACAAAAAAAATTATTATGACTGCCTTTTTTAAATTTTGTGGGTAAAAATGGCTTGAACCCCTGATACATTTTGGTGTATACTATTGGTAAGTCAGGGATGCAATAATCGACGCCGAAATGGGGCATAAGATAAAATTTGCAAAACGATGTTGTGAAAACAATAGCTGAAGATCATAAACTAAAGACGTATCCATGCGCAATCGTCTGTGTATGTACCGTGTTTTGTTTTAGGTGCAAGATTATAACCTGTGCCTAGAAGTGCAGATAACGTGCAATTTTGAAATTTCTACTGAAAGCTAAGACTTTGTGGAAGTAGTGATCAGAAAGAGTTTGTTTGTTTAACTAAGAGATGCTTTGCAGTATTTTCCGAGAGTGGGACAAATGTGTTAATTTTTAACATTGATCCTTAGTTGGGCAAACTGCGAATTTTTTAACTGCGGTAACATACTAGTAAAACAAGAGTTCCGAGATCTCATACCTCCATGAAATATGAGCCTAATATGTAAATATTAATTTCATCATTATTTATGCAAATGGCTTCTACATTATCATAATGTATGCATGGTGATGTTAGCTTTTAACTAAGTTACACATGTTACAAGTATGAAATTCCAATCATTTACCACTAAGTTATATTATATTATTATTTCATATTAATTATGCAAATTATGTCTGTATTTGCATAATTAGTATCTGTTGATATTCCACCTGCCATAGATTATGTACATTACATGGAACAAGTCCTTTGATGTAAAACACTGGAATTACAGATTTTCCTCATTAATTATGTAAATTAAGTCTTCATTTGCATAATTTACATCTTATTATGTACATCTCTGTCTGATCCACATACCAAAAATCATTCGAATATTATTTGCTCTGAAAGATTTTCCCAGAACCCGTCCTGCAGTCCCAGCACAAGCTGCTAGGGGGTCCAAATCCACACCACTTATTAATGACAGGAAATGCCATCTGCCACCAAAAAATCAAGACCATAGCATGCCCAGGACAAAAGATACAAAAACCGGAAGTTATGCTGCAGTACCAAGGTCAGCCACCAGGAGGCGCACATTTTACCT